GACGTCACGCGCGCAAGGAATTATTGGAGTCGTAGTAAAGCAATTTCAAAATGGCGGAGGCTAGTAAGGGTAAGAAGGTAGTTGGTGGATTTTCTTGCTGTGTACCAGGTTGTTTTAATAACTCTAAGAAAGATAAAGGTCGCCTGTCATTTTATGTTATTCCGAAGGACGAAAAGCTTCGAAAATTGTGGCTCCACAAGATCTCCAGGCAAGGCTTTAAGCCCAAGAATGACCGGATTTGTGGCTATCGAGTGTGCTCTGAGCACTTAGGAGGTACTAAAACATACACTAACAATGTACCTACTATATTTCCACTGTCTAAGTCCCATGTTACTCCAAAAAGAGAAATAAGAAGAGAATTGATTCGACATGCTAAAAGGATTACTGTTGGGGAAAATAAGCAAGCAATCGATGAAGAAAACATTCCCACGAACGAGACTGCTTCGACGACTGCTTCTGTTTCGAACTATGAGGATAATCTACAGAAAACAGCAATGTTAGAGGAAAAGCTGAGGGCTTTAGATCTCGAGAGACTGCGGCTGTTGGAAAGGATAGAGATAGAGCGATTTGGAGTGGAGCGATTTTCCCTGTCTGATTCAGATATGCTATATTACACAGGATTAGAAAACTACAAGTTTTTCAAGGCTTTGTACGAATTTTTGGATGGTGACAATGGTGCAATCTCCAGACTTAATTATTGGGGTTCAAACAATTCTTCCCAGAATTTTCAAGATATTGAAAAACGCGGAAAGAAACGCTCTCTCCTTTCAGCAGATGAATTATTTCTGACACTTGCTAGGTTGAGAGTCAACATGGCTGAAAAAGTGCTAGCTGATAATTTCAGAATAAGTGTATCAGAGGTTTGCAGAATTTTTGCCACATATCTTGATTTCATGTACACAAGATTTATTCAGCTTGACATATGGGCTTCAAGGAAAACAGTTGATAAAACTATGCCTGAGACTTAAGGTGGAATATCCTTTCACCAGGATCATTCTTGACTGCACAGAATTATTCATCCAAAAGCCTTCATGCTTTAGAGCTCAAAGTGAGACATACTCAACCTACAAGAGCCATAATACTGCTAAAGGGCTTGTTGGAATTGCACCTTTTGGAGCTGTAACGTTTGTGTCTGACGTTTATGGTGGGCATGCCAGTGATAAAGAGATTGTGGAATCATGTGGAATTCTGAACAGATTGGAAGAAGGGGACTCAGTCATGGCTGATCGGGGATTTGAAATCAGAGATTTGGTTATGACATATGGCTGCACTTTGAATATACCCCCATTCATGCGTTGCAAAGCCAGGCTTGACCCAGAAGAAGAAACAGAAGCAAGAGAAATTGCTGCTGTAAGAATACACGTGGAAAGGGCAATTGAACGGATCAAGAACTATAACATTTTAAATCAGATCATTCCCAATTCAATGGCAGAAGACCTTAACAAGATATGGAAAGTATGCTCTTATTTAACTAATTTTAAAGGCAACCTTGTAGTGTGATAATGACTGTTGACAATTTTGGTCCATTGTGGCAATATCGTCAGGTCAACTAAGTGTACAATTACATGCTAGAGTGCATTCACTATAATTATGTSTGAAAAARTTTGCAAWYAAAATTGTKMAAATTAGTACARTTTCTTACAAAGTGTTTCACAGATATAATGAAAGCACTATACTATATGTATTGTCATCTTATTCAGTTTATATTTGTATTCAATTGTCTTCATTAGGTCACTTTCAAATTGAAATAATTAAAAACAAGTAATAGTTGATCATTTATTTTTCTAATTATTAAAACAATCAGTTATTATTCATTATTATCATTATTATTCTAATTATTAAAAGAATATTCAATATTGTTTAGATTCCATCTTGTTCAATCATGTTTTGTTCAACACAACTTTTACATGGTTTAAAACAAAGGGATTATACAGTAATTCATTGAAATAACTTATTCCAATATGTTGCTCAGTAATTTGGAAACATAAGAAAATTGAAATGTTTTGTAAACTGTTATATATGTGAAATCACTTCTTATATACAAATAAGCTTG